CAGTTAGCGTAATGGCTATGTCACTAAACTCCCATGTAGTCGACCGCAGTTCGAGTCCCGGACCTGGTGGCTTAAAACTCACGCCGGGCGCATGTGCGTGCGTGCCCAAGATCCCAAGAGGAGAATGGAGGAGAAGGGATTGCAGCTTGGCCATCCCCCCTGGGGGGTGATTTCTTGCTTTCTGTCTCTCTGGCGAGTGCACATGCCCTAATAGCAAAAACCTCTCAAAAAAAAAAAAGAGTAGATAATTTAATTTTTTCAAATCTAAAATGGTGGTTCTCTAAGTAAGTTCCCTGGACCAACAGCATCAGCCTCTCCTGAGAAGCTGATGGAAATGCACTGTCTCCAGACTTACTTCACACCCACTATTCAGAATCCCGGTTGGTGGTGCCCAGCAATTTTAGCAAGCTGTCTGGTGTCTCTGAAGCCAGAATTTGAGAGCGTCTGGTCCAATGATTCTTCATGTGTGCTGGTGCTCTAGGCAGGACTGGCTAGGACAAATATGTCTGACCTCTGCAAGTGCTGAAACAGTATTTTGCTACTGCTTTTAACTTACAAATAGCTGCTCAATGCAAAGCTGTCAAGTTCTTGTAATTATTACTCCAAATGCTCTTACGACTCCAAATGAGGAGAGTAATAAGGAGTATCAGGCTTCAGAACTTAAACAAATTTTTTTTGAATTACTGTATTTATTTTTATCATTAAATTTGATCAGAGAGAGAGAACGAGACAGTGAGAAAGCAAGTTACCGAGTCTGGGACTCGAATTGTGGTCGGCCATGTGGGAGTCCAGCGCCTTAACCTCCACCCCACTTGCCAGCCCCCAGAATGGGGGTTTTGACTCACAGTTTTGTGCAGAAAACTTTCCAAGCAGCAGGCCAAAAGCCTCCTATCCACAAAGGGGCATGTGTAAAAATAGTTCGGCTGTTTCCAATTAGGCCAGAATGGAAACCATCTGGACTCCTCGCCCAGGAGGCCGATGCAAATCAGCTCAACCTGACCCCTCATTTTGAAACAGGCAGAACTCTTCCACCAAAGGCCAAACTCACCCCGAACACCTTCTGACTACAAAAGCAATGGTCTAATGTGGGAAGCTGTTTTTTCGCTTGCTTTGTGAACTCTGGAAAACATGACAATGATCTGCCCTGACGAGAAATGATAGCATAAGGATGTATTAGATTAAGGTTGTGTCTGTTGACTTGAAGCAAAAGGTTCCTTAGGAGACAAAGATGAATGGTTCACATGTCTCCCAGGTGAAGTCCGAATGTTGGCCTGCCATGACACTCATCGCTTGCGTGGTTAAGAACCTTCTTTCTCACCTAGGTTATTCGTTACCGAAATCCCTTCTTCCACACCAGTCCTCTCATTGACAAAACCTTCTCCCTACCTGCATCCCCGGGGGAGAACACCTTTCCCCACACCCAGTGTCCATGTTTGGCCCTTGGCAGGCTCAACCATGTGTGGCTGTTTTGTGGGTGTGTGTCCTAAGTACTGAGGGCATTTATGGGTTGAGCTGCCCCCTCCAATTCATAGGCTGAAGTTCTGACCCCTGGTACCTCAGACATAGCTGAAGGATAAGTAGTCACCTTGTTTTCTTTTTGACTTTTCCTTCAGCCTCTCCACCTTCTAAGGGGGTTTAACACTTCTGGGTCCTATATAGGAGTAGGGAGGGGTGCTGGATGGGGGTGGCAGGCGGGAAGAGTTACATTCATGAAGGGCCTCACAGACTGTGGTGTCCTCACCTAATGATGTGATGCTACATTTGCTGTGTTTTTGTGTGTTTGAGGACTGACTTTGTCTAATATAGACTTCAAATATTATATATGTATTTTCAGTTTCTGCTATAGGGCATGTGCACATGTCAGAGAGAGAGACAGAGACAGAGAGAGGGAAAGTGAAAAATCGCCCCCAGGGATGGCCACACCACAATTCCTTCTCATCCATTCTCCTCTCAGGATTTTGGGTACACACGCACCCATGTGTCTGGTGTGATTTTCAAGTCACTGGGTCTAGGACTTGGACCACAGAGTTGACCATATGAGATCCAGTGCCTTAACCTTCAGTTCACCTGCTAGCCCCAAATATTATATAATCTTTAAAACTCACTTTGCTACTTATTTTTTTCTTTTTAGAGAGATTTTTGTTATAGGGCCCATGTACTCACTGGAGAGATGAGAGAGACAGAGAGAGAGAAAGCGAAAAATTGGGACCATAGTTAGCGTAATGGCTATGTTGCTGAACTCTCATGTAGCCAACCGTGGTTTGAGTCCTGGAGTCAGTGGGTTTAAACTCACACCAGGTGTGTGTGCGTGCGTGCCCAAGATTCCAAGAGGAGAACGGAGGAGAAGGGATTATGGCATGGCCATCCCCCCTGGGGAGTGATTTCTCACTTTCTGTCTCTCTGTCTCTCTCTCACTTTCCGGCAAGTGCATGCGCCCTATAGCAAACAAACTAACAAACAAAACAAAACAAAAATCAACTCTCAAAAAAAAAAAAAAGGAAACAATGACTAAAACAAATGATAAACTGGCATGGTTCTTTTTTATTTCTTTTCCTTTCAGTAGAATTTCTAAAGCTTAATATACAGTGGAAAGACTATTTAAAGACAACAAAAACAGGGTCTGATAAATTTTCTCACTTTGCAATTTCATCTTTGTCTTTGTTTTATTTTAATTTGATATAGGGTATGTGTGCTCACCAGGGAGAAAAAAAGAGAGAGAGGGAAAGTGAAACGGCGACCCTCCTAGGGGTCCGCCGCACCACACTTTCTTCTCCAGTCTCCTATCAAGATTCGGGGCATGCGACCAGCAGTTAGCGTAATGGCTATGTCGCTGGACTCCCACGTAGTAGACTGCGGTTCACGTCCCGGACCCGGTGGCTTAAACTCATGCCGGGCACGTGTGCGTGCGTGCCCAAGATCCCGAGAGGAGAATGAAGGAGAAGGGATTGCGGCGTGGCCATCCCCCCGGGGGGTGATTTCTCGCTTTCTGTCTCTCTGTCTCTCTCTGTCTGTCTGGTGAGCGCACACGCCCTATAGCAAAAACCTCTCAAAAAAAAAAAAAAAATCTTCGGGGTGTGTACACACACTTGCCTGGCATGTTTCTCAAGCCACTGGGTCCAGGACTCAAACCACACAGTCAGCCATGTGGGATTCAGCCACTTTAACTACCACACCACTGGCTGGCCCTCATTTGGTTTTTTAGATCATAAGAATTTATAATTTCCTAACTCAGATTTCACAGAGGAAATATGAGGGTAATTCAAGGAACAGAAAGGAGACCACACACGAATAAATTAAAATTGAAGAAAAACTTGGGCCAGCAAGTGGTGTGGTGGTTAAGGTTGTTGGACTCCCACATGGTCAACTGTGGTTTGAGTCCTGGGCCTGGCAGCTTGCTTTCTCACTTTCCCTCTCTCTCTCTCACTCTGTTCCTCTCTGGTCACATTAAAATAAATAAATAAAGTTAAGTAAAAAAAAAAAAAAAAATTCTTAAAAAGAATTTGAAGAAAAACTCAAAGGATAACAAACTTCATTATCAGGGCCAGTTGCCTTCTCCTTCTTAAAAAAATTTGAAGAAAAACTCAAAGGATAATAAACTTCATTATCAGGGCCAGTTGCCTTCTCCTAAACTAATGGTAGGAAAAACAAAACAGGAAATGGACTGAAACATCAAAGCACAGATTCAAGTTAGCCTCCAAGAGGAGTTTTCCAAACACCATGTCGGTGATACACTCGGAGATGATCTTGTACAATTTCTTTAGCATTTCACAAAGTTAACGCTGGAGTGGGGGCCAGTTTTATAGCCTCGTGGTTAATGGAACTAGATTCCCATGGCTGACCATGGTTCAGATACTGGTCCTCAAGGTAGGAACATTGCAGGCACGTGTGTGTGTGTGTCCAAAACCCTAAGAGAGCGAAGAAATGGAGGAGAAGGGGTTGCGATGTGACGATGCGCCATTGTGGGGATGAGGGGTGCTTCCTCTCTTTCTCTCTTTCTCACTGTCTCTCTTTCTTTCTAGCAAGTGCCCTCTGGCAGTTAAAAAAAAAAAAAAAGGAAAGCTGGAGTGGAACTCAGGAATCTGTAAGCATGAAGTCTTCATCTGCAGAACAGGGAGCCATGCATCAGTGGAACTCAGGAATAGACTTCTGCTTGGTCCTGAGGGGGAGCTAGCAAATGGAAGTGAGGAAGGGGCTGGAGCATCTGCCATGTGACTCCATAGAAAAACCCCATCAGGGCAAAAATTCCCTGCCTAAGGTCATATACCAGGAGATTAGTAGGGGCTGTCTAGCTGATGAAGCCACATTTGACAGCCAAGGAGATAAATCAGAGGGCCAACCACATTTGATAGAGCCAATGATATGATAAATCAGTGGGCCCAGCCAATGAGCAGCCGACACAACCTAGATTAAAAAAATGATAAACCTCGCAGAATGCAACTGCCAGGGCCTTTGAGCCACTGTCTGTCTGCTCAGGCCCGCTCCTCCTCTCAGGCCTGTACTTTCACTTTCACTTAATAAACTACCTTTTCCTTTCACTGTTGAGGCGTCTCATTCAAGTCTTTGTCCGCCACACCAAGAACGTGGGTGTCATGGCAGCAGCCATCCCACCACGGTCCCTCACACTTGGCTGGGAACATCAATACTTGACAGTTTCTCAGGTAGTGTAACCTGCCCAGAGGTTACGAGGTGGGCGATTTCGCAACACTCAGTTTCTGATTCTAGTAACCACCCCAGGAGAGAAATTTCCAGGTCCTGCTGGTGGTTGCAGGATGGCTCAGCCCCCGTAACCCTCGCGTGGTGCGTTCAAGGTGCCAGACTAATTCCTCTGGGGGACACGGTGAAGCTGTCCTGTGCTTGGTTCAAGGTACTGAGTTTTCTTCCCCTTGAGTTCTGTGTGTTTGGGTGGTAACTTCGTAGTGAGGATACACAGCCCATGAAAGGAGGAAGTGATTAGAAGATGAAGGAAGTAGAAGGATTAAATAACAACGGAAGTACCTTTTCTTCTCTTTTTCTTCCCTGAAGTGGTTTTCACTGTTATAGCTTCAGATGATTTTGTAATGTGGTCCAAAGTTGAACTTCTTCCCTGTCTAGCTGCTTAAAAAAAAGGAAAAAGAAAAAGAAGATTAAAAACAAAAAGAAAAAAAAAAACACAGCCACTTCAAAGTCCAATGAATAGGTTTTTGGCACATTTTCGTGTTGGTTATTGCCTTTGTTTATGTACACTTTGGGCAGAGTTATTTCTCACGGGAGAAAATTCTCCGACCTCCTGCCAACAACAAATTCACTTCAGTTAGTTCCGTAGTTTCGAGTCTCTCAATCTTCATGTAAACCCATCAGGCCCCAAGAACCATCCTGCCAGGCCTTTGCCAATCCTCGCAGTCCATACTTGCTTTCTATAGACGTGGCCCAGAATCCCTGGGATTAGCAAGAATGCTAAAGAGGAACTTTCTGGGCATGGTTTTAAAAAACAGGATTGACTGTACTCACTCAGAGCCATCCTGAACTCTTCTCTTGCACCCTAGTCTCGCCCATCAGGAAATGGCACGGGCAGAACCCGATGACTTCTCGGCACCTCCCCTGCCACTGCCCGCATCTCACCCAGTAGACACTTCTTGGCTTGTATGACAACAGCTGCCCCACAGATGTCCTCGCTCTCCCCCCTCTGCCTGCCCAGTGTGTTGACCACACGGGTTGGGGGTCGTTCCTCTGCTCCTGAGAGTCTAACCAGGCCTTAATCCAATGGCCCATTTACCTGCATAGGGGCTGTTGCCCCAAGTGCAAAGCCTTAGGGCCTGGGTATAGGCTGTTCCCTCTGCTTGGAAAGCTCTTCCCTATTTCTCTGCAGGGCTCACTCCCTCACCTCCTGTGACTCTACTCTGCCACTTTTCAAGGGGGCCTCTGCTTACCTGTTCATTTCACGTCATTTCCCCTCCACCACCATCCCAATACAGGACATCCAGCTCAATTTGCACGTCAGATAACATTAAACCAAACTATTGTTCTTGTAGGAAGAAACCAATGTTCACCCGCGTCCCTCACGGGCTGCCCACCTCTGGCATAGTCTGCTCTGTACACTTTCCTCAATAAATTTGCTTTCATGGAATCAGCAGGTGGCATAGTGGTCACGTCACTGGACTTGCACATCGTCGACTATTGGTTCAAGGCCTGGAACCGGCAGCTTAAAACTCACACAGGTGGGGTGTGTATTGGGGGGAAGGAATGGAAAGTAACTGCAGATACCAGAGATAGTGTGTGGGAGGAGGGTGGGAAATGGCAGAGGGTGAGAAAGAGAGAGGGAAATTATATATATATAGATGAAACAAGAAAACGAAAATTACTTATGGATGATAGCATGTATGACTAAACCGTTATACAGTGTATTCTGGATGGGAAATTGCATTTTGTATGTTGTGATGATGTTCAGTGAATGAATGGAAAATAAATAAATTAATAAAAACGAAAACAAAACAAAAACCTCAGGCTGGGCACATGTGCATGCATATCCAAAGTCCTGAGAGGAGGCTGGAGGAGAAGGAGTTGTGGCATAGCCATCCCCCCAAGGGGTGATTTCTTATTTTCTGTCTCTCTGGCAAGTGTACATACCCTATAGCAAAAATATAAAATATAAAATAAAATAAATTTGCTTTTGTTCTCCTTCAATGGCTTACTCTTGAATTCTTTTCTGTGTAAAACCAAGGACCCTCACACTTGGCAACACTATCAAAAAGTCATTGGGGGACCAGCAGTTAGCGTAATGGCTATGTCGCTGGACTCCTATGTAGTCAACTGTGGTTTGCGTCCCGGACCTGGTGGCTTAAACTCACGCCGGGCGCGTGTGCATGCATGCCCAAGATCCCGAGAAGAGAATGGAGGAGAAGGGATTGCGGCATGACCATCCCCCTGGGGGGTGATTTCTCGCTTTCTATCTCTCTCTCTGTCTGTCTGGCGAGTGTATGCACCCTATAGCAAAAACCTCTCCAAGAAAAAAAATGTCATTGGGCTTTTTCTTTTCTGATCATCCTTACATCAAACTACCTTACTTTCCACCAGTGACGACCACGTGCCAGGCTCAGTGTTTCCACACTTCGCTTGAGGTGAGCAGAGTGAGTCTGGGCAACCACGAAGGCGTACTGCTCATAGAGTTTAGCCAGTCACGACTAGGTGAGACGCTTCTCCTAGTCACAGCCTTTACCTTTAACACTCTTTATTTTATTGTATTTTATTTTATTTATAGGGTACATGCACTCACCAGAGAGAGACAGAGAGAGAAAGTGAGAAATCACCCCTAGAGGGGATAGCCATGCCACAATCCTTTCTCCTCCATTCTCCTGTCCAGTCTTGGGTAGCCACACATACGTTCCTGTCACAATGTTCTTTTTTAGCTTCTGCTATAGGGTGGATGTGCTTGCCAGAGAGAGAAAGAGAGAGAGAGAGAGAGAGAGAGAGAGAGAGAGAGGCAGAAACAGAGGGAAACTGAGAAATCCCCCCTGGGAGAAAGGCCATGTCACAGTCCCTTCTCTTCCATTCTCCTTTAGGGATTTTGGCAATGCATGCAAATGTGCCCAGTGTGATTTTCAAGCTGCTGGGTCCAGGTGTCTTCACCACCACCACCAGCGGCCCACATTTTTAAACATTTTTTTCCTAGAAAAACAAATCCAGAACTCTTAACATGACACTTTGATGTCCCCTCTAGCAGAAACCTCTAAGGACAAGAAGAATGGAAGCTGTCCACACTTCTCCCTCACACCTTTGTCACCTCTCTTACCTTTCCAATCCCATATCTCTTGCACCTGTCCTGTCTGTCACACGCCAAATCCTCCAAACTGCTTTTTACATTTCCAATTTTTTTTTTAAATTATGGGTCTTAGGGAACCAGCAGTTAGCGTAATGGCTATGTCGCTGGACTCCCACGTAGTCGACCGCGGTTCGGGTCCCGGACCCGGTGGCTTAAAACTCACGCCGGGCGCGGGTGCGTGCGTGCCCAAGATCCCGAGAGGAGAATGGAGAAGAAGGGATTGCGGCGTGACCATCCCCCCTGGGGGGTGATTTCTCGCTTTCTGTCTCTCTGTCTCTCTCTGTCTGTCGGGCGAGCGCACGCGCCCTATAGCAAAAACCTCTCCAAAAAAAAAAAAATTATGGGTCTTCTTTTTTCATATCTCTAAGCCCCAGTACAGAAATTCATAAATAGACCGTGACTTTTTAAAAAAATACTGTCTAAAATAGCACAAGGAAAGGATAATTGAGAGCAAACTATGTCTTCCAGTGTCCTCTTTATACATACTGGGTCTCCTGGATTTTAAATTCAACAAATAACCTATACAGTTCTCACACAATGGAAGTCCCTAAAAGGTGACAGTCATTGGATGACATGTACCAATCTCTGTTAGTTACAAGTTCTTTGCATTCATTTTCACAAGGAATTTTTTTACTTTAGCTCTTTCTCTTCGTTTTCTTTTCGGCAGGTAGAGCGAGTGTGTTCATCAACCTGCTTCAAGAGTCTCCTCTCCCAGAAAAGGTCACTGTGGTTGTAAGGATAATGAAGATGGTGAGAATGCCTGTCTCTCAGTGCTGCCCATGTCCCAGGCATCAGGCTTTGCGGCGTGTCCCTTCATGCTCACTAAATGCTCCAGGGCAGTTATCATCACGTTTTTATTTTTTTTTCTTTTTTTTGGAGAGGTTTTTGCTATAGGGCACGTGTGCTTGCCAGACAGACAGAGAGAGACAGAGAGACAGAAAGCGAGAAATCACCCCCCAGGAGGGATGGCCACGCCGCAATCCCCTCTCCTCCATTCTCCACTCGGGATCCTGGCCACGCACGCACACGCGCCCGGCGTGAGTTTAAGCCACCGGGTCCGGGACTCGAACCGCGGTCGACTACATGGGAGTCCAGCAACATAGCTATTATGCTAACTGCTGGTCCCATCACGTTTTACTTTGCAGCGAAAGAAGCAGAAGTTGGATTGATTCCGTAACTTGCCCAAAGTCACACAGGCCTGGAGTAGGATTTGAACCCAGGTCCATCTCTAAGTCTGTGTTATTAACCACTTGCTATAGTTTACCAGTACCAGTTATTTGAAGCAGTCGGCTTTAAAATGTGTCGTGAATGCTGTGCCCTCGGGATCTATTCAAACAAATGGAAAGCCACTGGTAGGGGACCAGCAGCTGTTACTCTTACCTGGCCCGGCTGTCTTCCCCACCTGTCTGTGCTCTGGGGTACTGCTGCAGCGCTCCGTCCTCCCCACAGGACAGGTGTGTGACCGGTTCTGGCCAGTCACGGCTCACCATGACTGACCACAGACACTGGTCCAACAGTAGCCACGTGACCCAAGGAGGGCCACTTAGCCCCTTACTGTGGGACTCGGTACACAGTCACTGGATAAAGGAGCTTCACGCTTTCTGTTATTGTTTATTTTTTATTTTAAAGAATTATTTAACATTATTTATTTGTTTATTTTAATTTGACCAGAGAGGGACAGAATGAGAGAGAGAAAGGGGAAGTGAAAAACCAAGCTGCCAGGTCGGGACTCAAACCGTGGTTGGCCGTGTGGGAGCCCAGCACCCTTAACCACCACGCCATCTGCTGGCCTCTGTTTATTATTTTTATTTTTAAGAGAAAAAGAAAGAGATAGAGGGGAAGCAAGCCATCAGGTCTGGGAGCTGAATCATGGTCAGCCATGTGGGAGTCCAGTGCCTTCACCACTAAGCCACCCACTGGCCCCTTGTTTGTTTTAAGGTCTGTACCACAGGGTGCATGCGTTCACTGGAGAGAGACAGAGAGAAAGGGAGAGTGAGAAAACAAGCCACCAGGTCTGGGACTTGAACCATAGTTGGCCATGTGGGAGTCCAGTGCCTTCACCACTAAGCCACCCACTGGCCCCTTGTTTGTTTTAAGGTCTGTACCACAGGGTGCATGCGTTCACTGGAGAGAGACAGAGAGAAAGTGAGAACTCACTCCTCAGGGGGATGGCCACCCTACAATCCCTTCTCCTCCCTTCTTCTCACTGGACTTTGGGCATGCACACACATGCACCCGGCGTGACTTTCAAGTCGCTAGGTCCAAGACCGCAACTGCAGTCAGACATGTGGGAGTCCAACGCCTTCACCACGCCGCCGGCCGGCAGCACCTGGTTGATCACAAGTCAGGATGATACTGCTGGCAGGCATGTCAACTGCCTTTTTCTGCTCGGAGAGAGCCTGGCGGACTGGGAAGGAAGAAGGCCAAGTGTTGAAGGGAAGTAGAGTTGAGGGCGGCAAACGCGACGTCTCCTGGGGACGCGATTTGAGCCCTGAAGCTGGCCGTCTCTGAAGCCTGCTCTACCTGTGAATGTCCCAGTTACATGAGCCAGCAAACCCACGCTGATCTTTCATCCAGCTCGGGTCGCCTTCACTTTTAACCTGGAACCTGATGAACGTGTTGTACTCCACCCTACTGAAGGGGCCTAATCAATAACTCCAGGATGCCCAAAGCTTCTTAACGGGAGAGGCACGTCCAAAGCTCCCCGGGTGCCTCAGGCACTTTCTCTCCCTTTTAGGGATCAGCCCTCCTGGACCTGTCTCTTACCTCGGCCCCTCCTGGAGGGGAGGGGAGGTCTTAGGTGGCTCTGAGTGCCCTTGGCAGGCAGCGGGGAAGGTCTAAAGAGTCACACCCAATCTGACAGTCTGGTGGGAAGGGTCATGCTCCAGCAGGGAATCCCTGGGAATCAGAGGACCACTTCCACTTGAAAAAAGGGAAGTGGGGCCAGCGGGTGGCGTGGTGGTTAAGGGCACCGAACTCCCACATGGCCAACCACGGTTTGGGTCCTGGACCTGGCGGCTTGCTTTCTCTCTTTCCTTTTCTCTCTCTCACTCTGTCCCTCTCTGGTCAAATTAAGATAAGCAAACAAATAAATAAAGTTAAATATTTTAAAAAAATAAAAGAGAAAAAGGGAAGAATAGGGCCTGAAGGATCTTACTGCACATGGCTGACTCACCCAGAAATGACAACGGAACAACCTAGACGTTGGGAAGACCCCCTGGTGTATTGTCTCAGGAATACCTTAATCACCCCACCCTAATTCCTTTCTTTAAGAGTCCCTTGTCCCCACTCTTTAGGGCCAGTGTAGCTTTCCACACCTGCTCCTTTCCTCCCTTCTGGGAAGTGGATCAACCTTTTCTTATCCCTTTACTTCCTCTGGATTCCTTCATAGCCTGTATCACAGGTCACCCTAGACCTACTGCTGCTCTGGGGAAACTAGCTTCCTCACCTGTTTGGCCACCTATGCTCTTTGGTCCTGGCCCCTTCCTCGTGTCCCTCCAGCCTCTGCTCACTGTCCCATCTCCGTCTCCCTGACCCTGTTCTCCTGCCTTCCTCTTTTGAAGTTCCCTGTGATTATATTGGATCTACCTGGAGAATCAAACATACTCTCCGCACCTCAAATCCTCAACTTCATCACAACTGTAAAGCCTCTTTTGCTGTGTAAGGTAGTATATTCACAGGTTCTTGAGGTTAGGACAAAGGAGACCAGCAGATGGCATCGTGGCTGTGTCACTGGACTCCCTCATAGTTGACTGTGGTTTGAGTCCTGAGGCCAGTGGCTTGAAACTCACACCGGGCACATGTGTGTGTGTGCCCAAGATCCTGAGAGGAGAATGGAGGAGAAGGGGGATAGTGGTGTGGCCATCCCCCCTGGGAGGGGTGATTTATCGCTTTCTTTCTCTTTGACAAGTGCATGTACCCTATAGCAAAAATCTCTCTTAAAAAAAAAAAAAAAAAGATTAGGACAAAGGCATCTTGGGGAAGTCTTTATTCTGTCTCCTGAGATAAGAGCTAGACCCACTTACAGGTAGATAGGGTAAGGGCCCCGAAAGAGTCACTCCTTTCCTAACGAAGTCTCTGTTTTTCCCTCTGTGGCCTGGTTAATGTACAATATGCACCCTTTTTACATGTCTCTAAAGAACTCATGATTCCTCGCTAATGACGCAAGAGATAGGGATATCGAGCACACAGACAAGGTAAGGCCCCAAGATGGAGTCACAGTGGCTAAGTTTTCATAGCCAAAAGCTGGCTACGTTGGGGCTTAAAGCAACTGTAGCTAAGGGCAACAGTTTTCAGGAAGTACAGAACTGTTATGGTCTCCTGACCCCACAAAGAATAGGGTAATACATTTCTAAAGCCTACTTTATCAGAAAGCAACCCATTGCTTAGACTACTAGAAAAAAACAAACAAACAAACAAAAAACAACCCTCGCCTCCAGCTCCTCTTTGGCAACCCACTGGGGCCCCCTTCCATTGCACTGGAAGCTTTTCTCCTTCCGTAATAAACTCCACTTTACTCTCCTCTCTGTGTCTGCATCTCTAATTCTTCATGAGCGTAGGACAGGAACCAGAATAGGTGTTGGGTCTGATCACTCAGCACTCCTGAGTCACCCCCACACTTACTCAGAGGAAGGAGTCTCTACTGACCACTGGGGAAGTCCTTTTAATGACAAAGCAAAGTTACTTCCTGTTAGTTTGCCCCAGCAGGAGTTTAGTGCCAAATTCCCCCAGTGCTCACCTGGGGGCAGCTGAAGGGAACTTCTGGTGTCTAGTGAGGCTGTGGCTGACTGGCCTTTTCCCTCCATCTCTGCATGCTCGGCTATGGGTCTGAGCAGAGCCAGTGCCCCGGAACATTGCAAGTAATTGCCATCGAGGTGCAGCTCGCTAGGGAAGAGAGCAAAATTCACGTTCATCTGAGGCGAGCTCCACATCCTCAAATTCAGATTTGAGGTCTTCATCTGATTAAATAATACATCTAGTTGTAGAATAATAAATTAATGATCATATACATGATTAATAAACACATAACAGGCCATGCTATTTGGAATAGACCCAGTGACCATGTCAGCTGACCAAAACCATGCGTTCAACGTGACCCTCCTGATTCTCAAACCTAACTCGAAGGTCTTGCTCTTACAATTAAAGAGAAATAACCAGAGAGGAGAAAGTGATGATCAAGTGATGATACCACACTGGGCTGGTAACTCGGGACAGAGCAGTTCGGAGACCAGAGGGGAGTGAGCCAGGCCCACACTCACCAGATGGCGCTCTGGCTGACAACTGCAGCCAAGCTCAGCCCACTCCCCGGCCCCAGGCCGCAGTAACGCAGACTGAGGCCTTGAAGCCTTTGGTTGTTCTCCAGGCCTGACAAAATACTCTCCATTTCTTCATTTCCAAATCTAAAAAGAAATTACAAGAACAAACGAGTGACTCGGAGACCAGCAGTTAGTGTAATGGCTACATCGGGACCATGTAGGAGTCCAGTGCCCTTAACCACCACACCACTTGCCGTCTCCCTTATACGAACTTTAAAGTTCATGTAAATCAGAAAGTTTCCATGACTCACTCTAGATCATATGGTTTAAAATGATTCATGGACGGTAAATGGGCTCTGATCAATCTGGGCCCACATCAAAACTCCCTCTTTAAGATTTGAATGGGGGCCGTCAGTGGCAAAGTGGTTAAGGTGCTGGACTCCCACACGGCAGATTGTGGTTCGAGTCCTGGACCTGATGGCTTGAAACTCACACCAGGTATGTGTACCTCAAAAATCTCAAGAGAACCATGGAGGAGAAAGGATTATAGCATGGCCATCCATCCCCTCAAGGAGGTGATGTCTCACTTTCTGTCTGTCTCTCTCTCATGAGTGCATGTGCCCTATAGGAAGAATCTCTCTAAAAATAAAGATTTGAAGGGAACCAGTAGTTAGCATAATGGCTATGTCGCTGGACTCCCACGTAGTTGACCGTGGTTCGCATCCTGGACCCGGTGGCTTAAAACTCACGCCAGGCACATGTGCGTGCATGCCCAAGATCCCAAGAGGAGAATGGAGGAGCAGGGATTGCGACGGGACCATCCCATCTTGGGGATGATTTCTCACTTTCTAGCTCTATGTCTCTGTCTATCTGGCAAGCACACGCGCCCTATAGCGAAAACCTCTCCAAAAAATAAAAAATAAAAAAATAAAGATTTGAATGTCCTTGAATAAACTTTTCCTCACCTGTAGTCTAGGGCTAAATGATCCCTAATTCATAAGGTGGCTGGGATAATAGAGGAAATAACCCACGCAGTGTGCTCGGCACACAGTAAACGCTCAAGAGCTACTAGGTGCTTTATAATCGTCATTACAATTCTTACCTCTGGACCCTCCCCAACACACTTGGTACCCCACCCTTCTGAAGGACATGCACTTCTTCCCCCAGCACCCCATCTTTCCCCTCACTTCCTCTCCTTTGTAATATTGACTCAACATCTAGGGAACTGTGGTTGCCTTTATCTGAAGCACCATACACAAAAATATGGAAATCTTGTGATCTTCAGACTTTCTGTTCTGCATTACATATAATCAATAGCGTGTCTCTTGTCTTCTGCCCTGAAGACTACTTTGGACAGGGGTATTGTCTAACCTATATCTGTATCTTCCTTAGCAATGAGCAGTGACTTACATGACCTGGCCTTCAATAAATATTTATTGAAAGAACAAATGAACAAATAGAAACTCTCTCTCTCTTTTTTGTTTTTTGTTTGTTTGTTTGTTTGTTTGTTTTTGAGAGATTTTTGCTATAGGGTGTGTGCATTCACCAGAAAGACAAAGAGAGACACAGAGACAGAAAGTGAGAAATCTCCCCCTGGGGGGATGGCCACGCAACCATCCCTTCTCCTCCATTCTCCTCTCAAGATCTTGGGCACGCATGCACATGTGCCCAGTGTGAGTTTAAGCCACTGGGTCCAGGGCTCAAACTGTGGTTGACTACATGGGAGTCCAGCAACCTAGCCATTATGCCAATTGCTGGTCCCAATAGAAACTCTTTTTAAGAACTCTAAGGTCTACTCAGAAACATTAAGTGAGTTTAGAGGGTTCTTTTTCAGCCATGCCTTCATGAGGTGCAAGGATGCTGGACACCCATTGCTCTCCACCACCACCACCCCCTGCCACCCATCTCCCCCAGCCGACAGCAGTAAGAGCCTGTAGGAGGTCGGTCTTCCAGCCTTACCTGCAGTAATCGA